AGCTCACTAGGTGAAGCTCCGACCGGGGGATGCGCATGGTGTCAAGGGTGTTGACGTAGAGAATGTTGAGGCCGCTGCCTCCGTCCATCAGCACCTTAGTGAGGCACTTCTTGCGGACGATGGGGTTGACAACGAGCGGGTAGCGACCCGGTCGGGCGACGTGGGAAGGATGGTCTCTCTGATCAAAAGTGATCCGGGAGTCCGACCAGCTAAGGAAAAAGGGGACGGCCATCTCAGCGGCACATGCCTCTCTGTAGCGTACCTTTTGCTGGTGCTTAGAGTGGATGACGTTGGATCCCCCAAAGATCATGAGGCATTCCTCGGGGTCGGGGAAGTCGTCATCATCCTTGCCTGTCGCGCCTCCTTTCTTGCCCGCTGCCTCCTTGCCCTTTCTTTCCTTTGGCTTGCCGGCCTATCGCAGAAAGCGCTTAAGGAGCTTGCAGTCCTTGTAGAGATGATTGATGGGGTAGGCGTGATTAGTGCATGGACTCTCCATGAGCTTATCGAAGTGGTGGGGTGGCCCTGCTGGGCCTGCTTGCCCGCACGATCGGTTACGGTGACTAAAGATGGGTTGGCCGGTCGACGCCGATCCTTCTTGTTCTTCTTGCCCCTTTATGTGGAGGGGCCCTCACCTTGGTCCTCATGCTTGGCCTTACCCTTGTCCCGACCACCGCTAAAGATTGCCCCGACCGCCTCCTCCCCGGAGGCGTGGTTCATGGCGATGTTGAGCAGGTCACGGGTGGTACAGGGCTTTAGACAGCCGAGCTTGTGGATCAAGGACTCACAAGTTGTCCTAGAGAGGAACGCGCTGATGACGTCCACATCAACGACATTAGGAAGGGAGTTGCACTGTTTTGAGAACCTACGGATGTAATCTCGTAGGGACTCATTGGGCTCCTGCTGGCAACTCTTGAGGTCCCAGGAATTCCCAGGATGGACATATGTCCCCTAGAAATTCCCAACGAAGATCCTCTTGAGATCCGCCCAGTAGCGGATGCTGTCGGGCTGGAGGAATTCGAGCCATGCTCGAATATGCTCCCCCATGCAGATGGTGAGGTATTGAATGATGAAGTGGTCATCATCCACTCCTCTAGCTCGATAGGCGAGCCGAAAGTCTTCGAGCCATATACCAGAGTTTGTTTCCGGTGTATCTGGAGATGTTGGTGGGTGGTCGAAGCGCTATGGGAACGACGCTCTCTAGATGCGACGACCAAAGGCCTATGGCCCCGGACCATTCGGGCTAGGGCTCCGGTCGTTTGGTCGGCCACCATGCCTGGGATGAGTGTCCCCGCATTCCCCAATGGTCAGGCCGGGGCCTGTATCGCCTGCTCTCGTCGCCACTCGATAGGCGTCATCATTGTGCCGGGCATGGCGTCAATTGTTGATGCTGCTGCGAACATCATGGTTTGGCCCGAGGCGTTCGCGCACAGGTGGTCGGTGTGGAGCGGGCACTGGGTCAGGCTGTGGTGTAGCCGCGGTCTCCTACCCCACCCCCGGCAACAACAGTGGTGAGTGGACGGAGCGATTGGACTGGTGCAGCCCCATTCCCCCGGTGGTTCAAGAGGCCACGAGCCGGTGTCGTGATGCGGAGCTCTCTGCCTGTAGAACAGCGGCGGTCTCCACCAGCGCCCCGGAGGTTCTGGTGGATTGCTTGCTCCTGGGGGTCGGCCAGCTTGGGGACGCCACGTAGAAGCATCGCCGCAACAGCGATGTTCTGGCCAGCTCGAGCTAATTGAGGGGGGTCATTCCCTCCATCCAGGATGTTGCACTAGACCTAACGGGCGTGACCCCGGGCGCCGCTCGACGGGTTACGCGCGCGTGGCGCAACGTGCTATGCCGAGCGCGCCAGCACAGGTGGCGGCTAGCTCTACCGCCTTTATCGTAACTCCTCGCAGTGCTTCTGCGCACGCGTGAGGGCCTCCACATGAGGGTCTAGAGGGGTGTGAGTTTGTAGAGACTCTGCTACCACCAGTGGCTGTCCCAAAGCGTCTGTCATAGCGCACTCCCAGGACAGAGGGTGGCCAGGTGCCACGACATCGCCGATGCTGGAGCCATCACTTTCGACCTCATCATCTACGAGGTCGTGAAAAGAGGCGGGAGCATAGCCCACCATTCCCACAAATTCAGATGTGAGAGGGGGCGGCGTCAGCATCCTTCGAAGCCCCCGCGCATACGTGTCCATGGGGGTCGCGAAGCCCTAGGGGAATCGGTCGCACAACGGTCGTGGTGGGGACAACGAGGTCCCTCCGGAGAGTCGACAGAAGGTATGAAACAAGTAAATAACAAAATGTATGTTACTCACTGTGGAGTTTGAGCCCAGCATGGGCTCGAGGCGAAGCACGGGTGTCTCGACGTTGAGGTCGTCGAGTGGCCCGGGGCCAGCGGAGGGCGCTCCTCCTCTAGGGGGTGTCGGGACAAGTTCCTCCTCGCAGAGGCGAAGTATGCCGAGCCGGTCGGCGATGAAGTCTAGACTTCCCAAGAGGAAGGTCTAGAGTGGCTTGAAGATGGGAGGAACCCACATCCCAACAGGTGGGAGCGTGGAAAACTCCAGCGAGTCGAAGCGAATCGTATCGCTTGAGCCCGTTATGCCGAAGATGGTGAAAAGATGGGCCATCCGATGACCAAAAGCGTGAACACACGACGTCCTCCCCACGGACGGCGCCAACTGTCGGTGCGAAAAGTGACCAACAAGTAAATATTTATAGTTTTGCCACGCTTTGTGATCGGATGTGGCCTAGCACTCAATGACACAAGATTTATACTGGTTCAGGCAACGTGCCCTACGTCCAGTTTGAAATCAGTCGATGACTTTATTCCTGAGCCCAGGTGCTTGAAGTTTGTTGTGGGGTTACAAACGAGTATGGAATGAGAAGAAAGGTGTTAGAGGTCCGGTCGGACTCTTAAACCAAGTGGCTAAGAGTGACAGATGCTCTAACGAGCGTTAAGCATTGGAGCTTGTGCTTTGTGTAGCTGTTGAGTTCTAGAGTTGTGTAGTTCAAATGCTCAGGTTGTCTAGAGCCAGAGAGAGTCCCCCAGTTGGGAGAGAGCGCATCCCGTTTTATTGGTGAAGAGGATGGCCTTATAAGTTAGAGAGAAAGAGAGAGAATGTATATGTGTGCTTCCTAGTCTTGTTGCCCACGCTATCGGGTACGAGATGGTTGTCGACGCCCACAATACTGTTTATGCCCAGACGTGTCTAGCAGGATCTACCATGTTCGCCTAGCATGCCCCGATGGCACCATACTGCAGGTGCACAGGGCATGGTAAGGTACGGTAAATGACGGCGCCCACAACACTGTTTGGGTTCTGACACGCCTGGAAGGTTGCATAGTGCCTAGCTGATATGGCCTGGTGGCATCGTCCTGCAGGTGCGCATGGTACGGTTCTCGGTATTGCGGTTTGACTTGAGCGCCTTACCTCATCTGCTCCGCTCGATCCCGACCACATGGTCGTTCTGGTCGTTCCTACCGTACCGTTTCGGTCGGGAAAGAGCTATGGTATTCCAATGGAAAAGGAGGTCGTCGGACTATGTCCCTCCTTGGCGAGCCTTTGCTTGAGATCGGATCATTTTTTCGCCCTATCATTAGGTATCCGGGCGGTAGGAGAGGAAGGTTGCATAGTGCCTAGCTGACCGAGTATTTTTTGGCGGGTCCATTGGGGACCCTGGGTTTATAAAACCGATAAAGTAAGATGGTCTTTTGTATTTCAAATGCTACGTATGAAAGGCTTTTCGCCCAAATAGAGGCCAAATAGTTTTTAAGCTGCTTGATTCATCCTATTCTTAGACGTCATGGTCCCTTTAGTTTTCAATACCTATTTAGTAAGGGCATGGTCCCTTTAGTGTCAATACTTGGTTAGTAAGGGCTGTACAGAAAAATGCTCGTTGAGTTGGCTCGGTGGCTTGTTTCAAAAATGCTTTCCGATTGAACTTATTTTTCTTTTAAAATAAAAATAAGTTGATTTCGAATGACTTTCGGCTTCAGCTTGGCTCGTTAATCTTAATTTAAAATTGGGTACCAAAGAATTTATGAGATAATAATAAATAAGATTATGTCAAATTTAAAGAAAACCCTGTTTACCTGGTGACTTGCTATGCCTGAACTGTCGTAAAAATAGCTATGTTTGAGGCGCATGAGCTGTTGTGTCTCAAATGTTGTGTCAACACTTGTATTTCGTTTTGCTTTGAAAGCGCATGAGCTGCTATGTCTCAACTGCTATAAAAATTGCGTTCCAAACACAAGAGGTGACTGAATGGTGGAGGTAAGTTGCATGGTGACTTGCTCAAGGTAAGTAATTGTATTTTGTCCAAACCAAAATTATAGTACTCAAATTCGTTTAAGATCTCAAATATGTGTTACAATATTCGCTAAAGTAAATGCAAAAGAAATATATCAGCCACTTGATTATAAGTGACTTTGAAATGCAGTGGTAAGTAAGCAAACACAGGGTGGGCTTCTTCCACTGTTAAATTCTTTTTTGCCCTTTTTGTAAAATTTAATTTTTAGATGCGGCTCCTCTAGAAATAGATCTTTAGGGCGGTTTGGTCCGCCTCTGGAAATCATCACCGGCCTCTACAAACTGTTTTCAGAGTGTTCACTAGATTGAGTTTTTGGGGATTATTTATTATAATCGGATTTTGGTTTTACAATTTTTGTGTGGCGTTAGGCTCTTCTCTTACGGGTTGGATCGGACGGGCCTGTGTGTCGCTGACCGAACAAGGGCCCACCAGCTTCAGCCCAAACTCACGCCACCTCCTCGGCGCCTCGGTGCCTCCAAACCCCCGCCAAACCCGAGTCGGCCATTTCCAAACCAACAACTCTCACCACCGCTCCTTCGGCGTCGGCGCGGAGCGTCTCCTGTGTCCTGTCTCTTCCATCTCCATCAATACGCCGCGTGGCCATCACCCTGCTCGTCTCCGCACCCTCGCATCTCGCCCCACCACAGCCTTCTCTCGTCTCTGCTTCCCCAAATCCTAGCCGAATCGAGGGGACGGGGAGGGTATGGCGAGCGGCAGGCAGCTCCGGGAATGGATCTCGGACAGGCTGGTGACTTTTCTAGTCCGCCCCAACAGGGTCAGCGTCCAGGACGTCATCACGCTAGGTCGGTGCCCTTCGTGGAGCTCCGCTTCGATCTATTTGCTTTACTACTCGATTTAGTTCCTCAATATCCTTATGGTGACCGGTGCTGTTCTGAGTTCCGTTGAGTTCGTTTGCACGGCGGCAGAATGTTCATCTGCTTGCGACTTGGTGACGAAGCTTGTGGAGCTTGGTTTCACATCATCCGCAGAGACCTTCACTTTTGCATCTGACACATACGGCATGGTTCCCCGCTAGGCCATCTGTATCAGTGTAGGCCTCCTTGCATTCTATTGTTTGTTGTATAGTCTAGCTGACAAAATTGGCTGTCCACCCCTAAATATCTTTTGTCATGTCTTCCAGAATGACCAGATGCAGGAGAAGGTGGCAGCGGATCCTGTCGAGGAACAGGAGGCTGGCAAGCTGTCCTCCGACAACGGGAGCGATGATGACTACTCACAGTTACAGGGCTCGAAAGGAATGTTATACAAAGTTGAATCTGACATTGTGGACGATGAAGATGTAAGGATAATTGGTACTGTTCTCTTTTTTTTTCTATCTTTCTTTTACGTATGTACTTTGACTCAAATTGATGATACCATGTTCAGCACGGAAGAGCAAATGATTCTGGAAGGAATGTGGGTGGGGCAACAGAAGAGGAGGATGAAGAAGATGACGACAACTGTTCTGATGTATGTATATCTTCAAGGACTATGGTTTTGTTTTACAATCAAGTACCCCAATTATCTGGTACATTCTGTTAGGACATGGAGGGTGAAGTGTATCTCCAGCAGTGGGTAACTGACAAGCTTATCACCTTACTTGACTATCCCAAGAGCATTGGTGCCAAGGAAATCATCCGGCTAGGTAGGTCCATTTGTTGAGCCCTATTCGTTTAATTTCGCTCCTCCTCACTTTGACACTTGCATCTGCTGCTGTTCTGAATCTGGTTCTGTGTTACTGTGTGCAGTGGAGGATTGTTCTTCTACAGATGACCTTGTTTGCATGCTGGTCAAATCCGGTTTCAGGTCATCCTCGGAGACCTGCAGCTTTGGGTTAGAAATTTATGCCAAGGTTACTCGTAGGGCTAGCATCAGCGGTGTAGGTGTCCCACTCTCACATTTGTTGCTGTGATAGGTTCCAACTGATAATTGCAAAAGTTTTTTGTTTGCTGATGATATATTTTTTGGTTTGTTTGATGATGCAGAAGCTATATCAAGAACATGTTGTCAACAGAGATGTTGTATGCTTCTCTTCTCATACTAATATTTTGTTGTACCTTAAAATTTGGAGGTGTGATTTCTTTTTTCCTGGAACTATGTTGATCTGTTTCATACTGGATGCGTTGTAGGAAGAGGAAGAAGCAACTGAGCTGTACTTGAATACAATAGAAAACAATGAAGCTCACAGTCAGAAGGTATTTTTCTAGCAAGCTGATGCTCCTTGGCTGGCCTCTATTTTTTTGAAGGACTCATATATTAGAGTCGTAAGAGTTAAAGTGCATTCTGGATGTCACTCAAGGTAATTTCTGTTATCGAAACTTAGAAAACAAAGACTGGAAATGAAATGATGCATAGCTGAACATAAAACCATATATTGGCACCTCTGCATCTTAAGCATAATATCACCATGTTGGATCTACTGTCTTTATTATAGAGATCTTGGTAAGACATGAGACGAGAGCAGCATGCATGGCTATTTGTTGTTCAAAACTAGTTTTGGTTCATTTGTTAGTTAATGATGGCTGCCTTATTTTCTGTGAGAATGCTTAATATTTCATTTGGTAATCTGTGGTTTTGGATGCGAACCATTCATTATTTTCGACCCATCAAGTCCACTTATTTCTTTGCTCCTGTAATTGTAATTGCATTATATTTGACGTGGTGTGCCTTGGGCTGTATCAACAGCAACAGCAGAAATATAAGCTTATCTCATTCGTCCATTGAAAGTTATGCTTCATCCTTGAATTGTATGCATTGTTTGTAAGACATAATCTGCTGCTCCCCCAATCTCTCTTTTGTTTGGTTGCTGCAGATTAAAGATTGGCAGCTTGTCAGCCTGCCGTCGTCTTGCAGGTGCTGTAGCAAAATGGCAGTAAGCCATCTAGTCAAATTTGTACATGTAGTGGGCTGCTACCAGCCATGTCCTAGAGGACATAGTAGTAGTAAACTTTGTACCTTATATGGTACTTGTAGTATGTACATATACTACACCAAAAGGCAATAGAAGTTAGTTCAGTTGCCACATTTAGAAGCAGAGCTTCGGCCAGGGCTAGTGCTTGTGCTGTGTTGTGTGCGTGTGCTATTCTCACCCCTTCTTCAACCTCCAGCTGAGTGAGTGTGTGTGGGTGTGCTGGTAAGCTTGCTGGGAGTCTAGGGACCAACAAGTGGTATCGGAGCCGTACAGGTTGCTGCATCGCCCGGCTGATCATCGGCGATGGCAGGTGACACTGGCTCGGAGACGGGCGACGGCAGCGGAGCTGCCAGGGCTGCCTAGCCACGTCAGGAGGTCGTCGTGTGCACGGTGCGGGAGGTCAGCGGCGCCAGTTGGCCGATGCTGACTCGCACCAACTATGGCGAATGGGCAGTGACCATGAAGGTCAAGCTCAGAGCCCGACAGCTCTGGAATGCTGTTGACATGTCGGCGATGGAGGCGATCCTTGCCTCTGTGCCACAGGAGTACAGAGAGCCGCTGGGGGCGAAGAAGACTGCCAAGGAGGCTTGGGAGGCCATCGTGGCTATGCCTGTCGGCTCCGATTGCTTAAAGAAGGCGAATGCCTAGCTGCTGCGGCAGGAGTATGCCAACCTCAAGTTTCGCGACGGTGAGATTGTGGAGGATTTCTCCTCTGACTGTAGTCGCTCATCAGCCAGCTTGGGGAGCCACGACATCACCATCGACGAAGAGGACGCAGTCTCCAAGTACCTGCGCTCCGTGGCGGTGAAGTACATCTAGATCGCTCTCTCCATAGAGACAATGCGGGACCTGTCCACCCTTACCACTGAGGATGTGACTGGGCGTCTGCGGACGGTGGACGAGCGCACGAAGGCGGCCATGGCGACAACGGACAGCGGCAAGTTGCTGCTGACCGAGGAGGAGTGGGCTGCTTGGAGAAGGACAAGGGGTCCGGGGAAGGCTCATCCATCCGTGGCGGCGACGACAAGCGCCGCGGCAAGGCTCCATAGGAGAAGAAGAAGAAGAGTGGGTGTCTATGAAACTATGGAATGAAACTTTCCATTGAGAGTGGGTGTTTCATCCAAGTTTCATTTCATTCTATATGACATGGTAGCCTTGGAAACAACGAAATGAAACTCTCCATTGAGACTGGCTTTACTCCATTCTAGTTTCACAGGTGCGTTAGCTCATCCGGGTGCAGTTACTTCCAAATACATGCATGCAGTTGCTTTTATTCCAAATACTATGAGCGTGAAAAAGTGCGCGGGGGCACGGGCATGCATGCAGTCAGTCAATCATAACTCTTAACGGGGACAGGCGAATGCAGGCGTTGCAAATACGTGGGTTTTGCGGCAGCGTGGAAGAGTACTTCAGCCAAGCCCCAACATACTACTCCTACACCGTATACATACTGACATACAGGGGGCCCTGACGGCTCAGGGGCCCGGGGCAGCCGCCCCGTTCGCCCGCCCCAAGGGACTGGCCTGGATGTCGGCGGAGTTCTGGGACGAGGCGGTGTCCACGGCCGTGTTCATCCTCAACCGCGTGCCCACCAAGCCTCTGAAGGGCAAGACGCCGTTCGAAGCTTGGCACGGGCGCAAGCCGAACGTGTCCTTTCTCAGGACGTTTGGCTGCGTCGGCCATGTGAAGAACACCAAGCCTCACCCCGGCAAGCTGGAGGATAGGAGCACACCCATGGTGCTCCTAGGCTACGAGGAGGGCAGCAAGGCCTATCGGCTATACGATCCCAAGCGAGGCAAGGTGGTGATCTCTAGGGACGTGGTGTTCGACGAAATGGCAGCCTGGGATTGGGAGGATTCGGGCACGGGGAAGCTGGTGGCGTCAGTAGCACGTTCGCTGTTGAGCACCTGGTGATCCAAGGAGGAGGAGATGTAGGCGCTGAAGAGCAGGCTGCGAACGGGCCAGGTCCAGCAACTGTGGCGGCCGAGGAGGAGCCGCCAAGTCCGCCATGGCGGGCGTGGGCGAGCATTCTCCACCGGCAGCAGCGCACTCGCCTCCACCTCAGTCCCCTGCTTCGGCAGGACAGGGGACACCTCCGCTCGAGTTTACTTCTCCGCCCACCGACATCGACAAGTACGTGGATGCCTTCCACAACGGCGAGGAGGTGCGTTTCTGCCAAGTGGACAACATCGTCGGCGATGGAGGAGCTCCTGGGCTGGCCACTTGCATCCTCGACGATCCAGAGCTGCTTCTCGTCAGCGCGGAGGAGCCGCCCACGTTCACGGTGGCCGAGCGCGACGCCAATTGGCGGCAAGCAATGCTGGAGGAGATGAAGGCGATCGAGGACAATGGGACCTGGGAGCTGGTTGATCCGCCAGCTGGCTGTCAGCTGATTGGGCTCAAATGGGTCTACAAGGTGAAGCGGGACGAGCGCAGCGCCATCGTCAAGTACAAGGCTTGGCTCGTTGCCCGCGGCTTCGTGCAGCGTGAGGGCATTGACTTCGAGGAGGTCTTTGCTCTGATGGCGCGCATGGAGTCCGTTCGCTTGCTGTTGGCCATGGCAGCAGCGAAGGATTGGCGCGTCCACCACCTCGACGTCAAGTCGGCCTTCCTCAACGGCGAGCTCGCGGAGACGGTCTTCGTCAAGCAAGCTCCGGGCTTCGCCGTCAAGGGTGCTGAGCACAAGGTGCTCAAGCTGCGCAAGGCGCTCTACGGGCTTTGGCAGGCCCCTCGGGCATGGAACGCCAAGATCGATGCCACCTTGGGCGAGCTTGGGTTCACTCGTTGCGCCATAGAGCACGCGTTCTACACGCGGCGACGGGGGAAGAAGGAGCTCGTCGTCGGCGTGTACGTGGACGACTTGATTGTCACCGGAGCGTGTGCAACCGACATCGAAAGCTTCAAGCGCGAGATGGCGGCTCGTTTTTGGATGAGCGATCTTGGTGGGCTCTCCTACTACCTCGGCATCGATGTGAAGCAGGAGAAGGAGTGCATCTCCATGGACCAGCACGCCTACGCGGAGAAGCTGGTGGAGCACGGCGGCATGGCGGAGTGCAAGCCGTGCGCAACTCCGAAGGAGGAGCGGCTGAAGCTGTCACCGCGGCAAAGGTGGACGCGACGCGCTATCGGAGCATCGTCGGTGGGCTGCGCTACCTCACACATACTCGCCCGGACATCGCGTTCGTGGTCGGGTATGTCAGCCGGTTAATGGAGGACCCGCATGAAGATCATTGGACGGCAGTGAAGAGGCTGTTGCACTACGTCAAGGGGACGCTCGATCAAGCGATCATCTTCCCCAAGCACAGCGGCAATGGTGGGCTGCGCCTCACGGTCTTCAATGAGGCGCCCCCCAAGACCGAGGAAGGTGAGCCAGAGCTCACAGTTTTCAGCGATGCAGACATGGCGGGCGACATCGACGGGCGACGGAGCACCTCTGGTGTGCTCGTCTTCCTTGGAACGGCCCCCATTGCTTGGCAATCGCTGAAGCAAAAGATCGTGGCGCTGTCAACATGTGAGGCTTAGTATGTTGCAGCGGCCACGGCGGCGCGCCAGGCTGTTTGGCTCGCCGGCTGCTGGGTGAGCTAATCGGTGAGGAAACTGGCCCGCCAGCGCTGATGGTGGACAACCAGCCTGCCATTGCCCTCGCCCTCGCCAAAAACCCTGTTCTCCACGACCGGAGCAAGCACATCGACATCAAGTTCCATTTCCTTCGGAACTGTGTTGATGGAGGACAGATTGTCATCGAGTTCATCGAGATCGGCCGGCAGCTCGCTGGCATCCCCACCAAGTCACTTGGACGCCTTCGGTTCACGGAGCTGAGGAAGATGATTGGCATGGCTGAGGTCAAGGCATCGGGTTAGCAGCAGGATTAGGGAAGAATTGTAAGACATAATCTGCTGCTCCCCCAATCTCTCTTTTGTTTGGTTGCTGCAGATTAATGATTGGCAGCTTGTCAGCCTGCCGTCGTCTTGCAGGTGCTGTAGCAAAATGGCAGTAAGCCGTCTAGTCAAAATTTGTACATGTAGTGGGCTGCTACCAGCCATGTCCTAGAGGACATAGGAGTAGTAAACTTTGTACCTTATATGGTACTTGTAGTATGTACATATACTACACCAAAAGGCAATAGAAGTTAGTTCAATTGCCACATTCAGAAGCAGAGCTTCGGCCAGCCGAGTGAGTGTGTGTGGGTGTGCTGGTAAGCTTGCTGCTTACCTGTGCAGGGAGTCCAGGGACCAACACTGTTTGCATATGTGTTGATTTTCTTAATTCTCTTCTCTGCTAGATAGTTTTACTGCAGTGTCATTTGAGCGATTGGACACTGAACAATGTATCTAACACCAGCAACTATATACGCATTTATTTCAGTACAAAATGCCTGAAGCTGATGATATGCATGAAAATGCTGGTGAAGAAAAATGATTATCTGTGGTCTTGCTGGAATATGAGTAAGTATACTTATAATTTATCAGGTCTTATGTATAAGATGGTGAACTTCCACAGAGTTGATTCATGTATGTTAGTGCTTTAATTTGATCAGCCGAGATCTTGAGCACAAAGGTAATAGGAGTCCTGAGACTGAAGAAAAAGTATGGTTGGAACACCAAATAGGTAATATCATCATGTTAGGAAAAAACTTCCAAATTCTGCTTTTAAGTGTTTTGTTGTGTTAAAGCAGTGTATTATACCGTGGGCTATGCTTTTGTTACATAGAGACTGACATGGAGCAAATTATATACTTGTTCCAGGAAAGCCTGGACTGAAATATGGATGCATAGATAAGAAGCTGTCCTCTGATGACAATCCGTAAGTACTCTTTTTTGTTTCCTTTTGAATTATTCATCAGCAGAGGCACCGGTGCGTAGTGGAATCCTAAGCCAGGATTGTAACGTGAAGAGAGGCAGAGGAATACCGAAGTTGACTTGGGTAGAGGCAATAAAAGGAGACTTGAAAGGATGGAATATACCCAAAGACTTAGCCTTAGATAGGAGTGCTTGGAAGACAGCTATTCACGTGCCTGAACCTTGATTGCTTCTGATGGGTTTCAACTCTAGCCTACCTCAACTTGTTTGGGACTTAAAGGCTTTGTTGTTGTTGTTGTGAATTATTCATCAGCAGAGTACTATCTTTGTCTTTGCATCACCTTACCATCTCCAGTGTGTGTAAAAACCTAGCCTCCAAGAGGGCTACCTCCTTTTTGTTGTTGCTGGTGTCTTTGGTGAGTGCAAGTTGCTTGGTAATCGCTTTTGGGTCATACTCCGAATTGCAGCTAGTGGTTGTTGGCATTGGAGGTACTCTGTGCTAAGCTCAGAGTCTACCCAAGAGTCCTGGCTGTAGAAAATAAGTGAGTTGTGTGTTCTCAAGAACAGTATGGTCACTACTTTTTCGCCGCTACAGACTATTAGACGTCTCTCCATCCCCTGAAAACAAGGGTTTCTTTGACTGGTGGATGCGGGCTAATGCTTTGGTCCCCAAGGAAGTGAAGCAAGGTTTGAATTCGTTGATTACTTTAGGGGCTTGGATGTTGTGGAAGCATCGTAACGACTGTGTCTTCAATGGAGCCAATCCCAACATCCAACTTGTGATTAGCCTTCCTTGAGGAGGCTCATCTCTGGTCCCTTGCTGGCGCTAAGCCGCTAAGGGGTTATGGCATTTAGAAGTGGTCGCTAGGTAGATGGCTTGATTCTGTTCAGGCTTGGTTGTGTGTTTTTCTGTAACAGGTGTGTTTGTAAATAGTTCCTTTTCTTTTTGGACAAGGGTTTGTATTTTGTATTCTCCTTCTTAATGCAATGATGCACATCTCTCCTGCATATTCGAGAAAAAAAATAGGTGCTATTCTCTCTAGATGCCCTACAGTCATGACAATTGAACAATGGCAATGTTATTCAGCTAGAATGCTTGTTCAGGGACTATTGGTGCTTAGTTAGAATATTTATTCAGATGGATGCTGCTACGCTGGAGAGGGAAATGGTTCCTGTAAGGTTGTTTTTAATATGGTTACCAGAAGGGAAAAAGGCAGATTTTCCTGTGGTCCAAAATCAGCAGAAACTCTTTGAAGGTTCCGAAACGAAATAGAAACGGTAATTTCACGGGTATGCATTTGTGGTCATAGCAGTGTGCAGGTTGCAGGTTCAGTCCCCCCTGCCCCGGCACACACACACACACTGTTTCATCAGAAAACCCAAATTTGGATTCAAGCATTTCTGACGGTTTGTCCTAACAATTATGGTCACCGGTAGTGATTACTACCTCCGTTAAGAAAACATGTCGTTTACAACAAGATTTGGTCAAACCGTAAAATTCCAAACATCAATAACTACTACACTACTTGTAAGCATTATGCGTAGATTTTGTATACAAAATACTTGCAAAACCTCGTAATATTTAGGATTTTCAGAATATATTCTAGAAAAATTTAGTTGTCAAAGATATGTGTATAAGACCGTGCAAAGTAAAATGTCCGCCCAGTTAAACAGGCCCAAAAACAGAGTAACCAAACTGGTCGTCCCTGTCCTAGTTGGACGACTAATCGCGATTAGTCGTCGACTAATCGGACGACTAGCTTTCTGGTCGAGCTAATCGAGTCGGTCCTCCTAATCGAATACCAGGGACCGACCAGGACGACTAATCGCGATTAATCGGACGACCTGAAAACATTGCTACTAAAAGATTTTGTAATGGGTTTGCATCCAGGAAAAGGGATTAGAGGGTAGAATTGGGGGAATTAGGGGTGATTAGAGGAGAGGAACGGCTGCCTTAGGGCTAACCGTGCCTTAGAGAGAGGGAGGGGGCAGCGGCGGCAACAGGCTGCAGCCATCTGGGCGCAGGGAGGGCGGCATGTCCGTCGTGGCTCAAGCGTGGGGAGGCTAGAGAGCTTTAGGGTTTTACGTCTAGTCGCCTAGACTATTTTTTGCTTAATCTGAATAGTGGCATCTCCTCTTATGTATTTTCTGGACTCTTTCTGAACCTAGACCTAGATGAACTCTTAGCGGTCCTACAGTACCACTACAGTACCCCCGCGGGTACTGTTCACGTGAGCCCAAGCTGGGCTGCAGTGGGCCCCATATCATCTAGACCCCATGACAGAACATTATCTTATTCTGCATTCTTTCAACAATGATAATTGCATTTGGCGCCCTGCTTATCCACACCGTTGGATTGAATTTTCAAAAGCTGCTCGAACAGACACTAACAGCAGCAGACGGTTGGACAGTCCAGTAAAAAAAATTAAATATGTACTTGTACAACTTCTGTGAATCAAAATGATGTGTTTATGTTGTTGTATGGAGTTCATTCTTCTCTGTTGAACTACTCATGGTATAGTTCCATAATTTTCAGTTGCACACCATGGTACCTGAGTTCCAATATAGATAGCATGATGGCTATAAGGCACATATAATTTCGTAAGGCCCAATAATATGGAAACCATATAGTGGAGCTTTGTAATACATTAATTAAAGCACAAAGTGATCTGAAATACAAAGTTATATTACAAAAAAAACCAGGTATACACCAACCTGCAACACAACATCATCTACTACTACATAGAAATCCGATATATCAGTTCTTTCTGCTGCAAATATTTTTTACTATGCCACCGTTAACCAGGGGAAATTGCATGCAACGGCTGAGATAGAGAGGGTGCCAGCCCCCTTTGGGCACGACACCATTTTCGTTTCATTAATTGTACTACAACACCTTTATATTGACAAACATTTGAGCCACTAGCAAACCAATTAGGCCAACAAGATCGTGGCCGAATCAGCCCATGCGGGCAAACCTCGCTCGCCTATAAGCCATGTACACTCTACACACGCCAAGTCTTGCCTCATCCCCTCTGCTTTTGCCTGTCAGTTCCTCACAGTTTCTCCCCGATGGCTTCCAAATTTATTATACCAAAGACCTAGGTGTTGGTGGCGGTGGCCGGTTGCTGGTAGGCAGGTGCTACTTGTGAGGGTGCTCTCATGCTCGTGTGAGCTCCAACCCAGAGCCTAGTACGTTAAGGTCCGGCTCCTAGTCTGATTTAAGGGCACATCACCAAACGTTTTCAAACCATGAAGGAATGCAAATTCAAATATAGTTTTGTTTATATGCCTTTTACTTTCTCTTGAGTGGTTGAGACATCTTTAGTTTGAACAATTGTTCTTTAATTCATGCTACTATGGACTTTTTCATATTTTGGGTCAGTGAATAGAACAATTTTTCTTTGGCTTAGGAATACCAAGTCACTAAATCCTGTGTCCGATACTCTGCATGATACATTACTAGGATTGACAGAATCTAGTTGCACTGTAATGAGTTAAAGACTGTACCAAGATTTTTTTCTTGTGACTAATCAGTATTGATATTGTACCAAATTTAAGGAGAGTGCATCTAGGATTGACTTTATGTGCTGCATCTATGTTCATATAGTTACAGGATTATTTATTTGAGTTAATCTTCTGACAATGTTGTTCTTTTTGCAGGTTATCGTCATAGCAGATGAGACTGGGTCTGGTAAAATAACACAAGTACCGCAATACCTTCATGAAGCTGGTTATACTGTAAAAGGAAAGGTGTGCCATCTTTTAAGCTCCATACTGGCTTTTATTGCACATCTGGACCAGCTAATATGCTTGTGAGAATGTCATAGTACCCTATGGTAATGTGTGCATGATTTTATGGATGGTTTCAGCTCCATCTTTTAGTTTTTTTCTTGTAATTTTCTATGCTCCAATTTCGCAAAAATGCTGCTAGGTTTGGAACTTTAGATTAGGCCTTGATGTTGCTAACTTTACAGTTTATAGCAGCTGCTTGCTCAGGACACTTAATTTTCCGCAGATTGTGTGTGTCCAGCGTCACCGAGTGGCTGCCTTGAGCGTTGCAGAAAGGGTATCTAAAGAAATGGGTGTTAATCTAGGGGATGAGGTTTGGTATTTTTGTAACTCTGATGTGTCAGCAATTCAAATTCATGAACGTTTCCGTGCAATATATCTTCCATCATTCATCTGAGATTTTTGTGTGATATTTATATCTGTTACTGCTGTACAGGTTGGTTTCTCTCTAAGGTTTGAGGATATCTCATCAGAGGGTACGGTTATTAAGTACATGACTGCCGGAGTACTTCTGAGAGAGCTTATTGGTGATCCAGATTTATCCAGCTATAGGTGACCATATTAGAACATAACCGTATTTCCACCAAAATGGAGACCTTTCTTATCTCTGTGTTCTTGCTGCAGCGTTGTCATGATTGCTGATGCTACTGAGCGCACCCTGCCAAGCGATATCCTTTTTGGTCTGCTGAAGGTTAGTTTGCTCGACCTATGCTTATTTGCAACTATGTTGGATACAATCTCAGCCCCTCATGTGCAAAGTATGCTTTTACTGTGTTCAGGTCATCTGTCGATCTCGGCCAAACCTGAAGTTGCTCATTGCTAGTGCCTCTTAATGTGGAGAAGCTTCATGATTATTTCTGTTCAGCTCCTGTTTTCAAGATACATGGGAGACAATGGCCAGTTGAAATTTATCACACCAAAGCTCCAGTACCTGACTACATTGATGCAGTAGCTGACACCATTATGCAGATACACATGAAAGAAACTGCTGGAGATATTCTAGTGTTCCTCCCAGGGGATCAGCAAGCTCAAGAAGTTCATGAAATTCTTGACCAGAAAACAAAGGGCTTAGAGAAAATGCCTTACAAGCTAATCATTTGTCCTATTTATGCTTATCTGCCTGTTGACCTTCTGGCAAAGACATTAAAGGCAGCCACCCCAAGTGATCGAAAAGTGATTCTGGTAAATGATATAGCCAAGGTTCCACCAACAGTTGATGGTACCGAGTATGTTATTGAACACAGGCTTCTGTACGATAAAATCATACAATCCACATCTAGGGATAGAATATCTGCTTATCTGCCCTATATCAAAAGCATCAGCGAAGGAGAGGGCAGGAATATATGGATTGACTAGGCCCCAAAAATGTTACTGTCTGTACACCAGGGATTCTTATATCCATGACCTTGAAGGTTGTATGATGGATAAGTCTCATGTGTGGCTGGTCTTTGTGGGGCTGTGCTGCTCACATAGTCCTTGTGGCTGTTTTTCTGTTTTTAGGACAGCATCTTAGACTAGAGGACAGCATCTTAGTTAGGACAGCATATTAGCATCTTAGACTAGCATCTTGGCATATGCTTGGCTGGCTAGCAGCCTATAAATATGTAACCCCAACCCTTCAGGTTGGTATGGCATTTATGTGAGTTTGTGTGAGAAATAGACAAGAAAATTACCCCAACTCCTAGTGTCATCCTCTCTCGATGAGAGTAAGAATTCTCCTACTACCAAGAGTGAGAATTCAGCGACTAACAACTTGTATCAGAGCCGTATTATCCTCAGAGCTCGAGCATCTCCTGCTCATCTCCCTCCCACCACACACAGCAGCCCAACATGCGGCAATGCCTCGCTCGCGCCTCGCTCACCTCCTCCTCCTCCCAGCAGAGCAAAGCGGCGCAGCTCGTCTGGCAGCCTCTCCCCACGCAGCAGCCCCCCCAGTGCGCGTCATGTCCATGGCGCTCTCGGCCTTCAGGTCGCCTCGAGCCTGGCTGGCGTCGGCGAGGCCGAACTTGCCGCGGCAGAGGAACGCGAGATGAAGCGGCAGAGAAGCGGCGCGCGGCAGCAAAGGCGTCGAGGCGGGCAATGCGGAGGCGGCAGGCAGCAGCGCGAGGAGGCGGAAGCGGCGGCGGCGGCGGCGAATGCAGCGCGTGCAGTGCAAGCAGCGGAGGTCGAGGTTTCATGCTGCAAAGACGGCGCCAGCGGCTCCATTTCGGCGACGACACCGCCCGACGCGACCTCGAGCTGCTAGAGAGGGAGGCAACGGCGAGCGCGGCGGCGCGATGGGCAGCACGCGCGCCACGAAAGCGTGGCGGCAGCCCAGACAGCGCGCGACGCGCCGGGCGGCGCTCTGAGGAGGCGCGCCGCGGCGGTGGCGCTCTTGGGGCAGCGCGCGCGCCGCGACGCGCCGCGGCAGCCTGCACAGCGCGGACGCGCCGGTGGCGCTCTCGAGGAGGCGCGCCGACGCGGCGGCGCTCTCGGAGGAGGCGACACGCAACAGCGGTGGCGGATGGGTCGATGGAGAGCGCGGCCTTCACAGCGCGCGGGGGCTCTCTCTCCCCGGATCGGTACCGACGGGTCGATGGAGAGCGTGGCCTTCACAGGCAGCGTGGCTCTCTCTCCCCGGATCGGTACCGTGGTTACCACGGGCTCCAGGCTGTTGTCGTCGGACGCCGGTCCCGGCGGTGGGTGGCCTACCTCACCAAGACCAACTACGTCGAGTGGGCTGCGGTGATGAGGGTAAAGCTCCAAAAGCGGCACATGTGGGAGGCGGTCCGGTGCAATGACGTCGACTACGACCTAGATCGACGGGCGCCGGATGCTCTCATCGCTGCAGATCCGCCCGAGATGCGCTTCTCGCTTACCGAAGAAGCGGATCGCCAAGGAGGCTTGGGACGCCATCATCTGCGGCAAGACGACGCGCGGCGGCGACCGCGCCCAAGTCCACACTACAGGCACTTCGCAAGGAGTGGAAGAACCTGGCCTTCAAGCCAGGTGAGGACGTTGATGACTTTGCTCTCCGTCTCAACACTCTATTGCAGAAGATGGTGCAGTTCGGCGACGACACCTACGGCGAGGAGAGAGCTGTCGAAAAGCTCTTCCGCTAAGCGTCCCGAGAAGTACAAGCGGATGGCTCGCTCGATCGAGTCTCTCGCTGGATCTCTCGATGTCGATCGAGGAGGCAATAGGTCGCCTCAAGGTCGCGTCGACAATGATGAGCCACAGTCCCTCTCGGGGCCCATCACCACTGGCGGGAAGCTCCTTCTCACTCGGGAGCAGTGGCTTGCCAGCCAAGGTGACCGGAGGAAGGGGGAGCCTTCTTCCGCGACAGGCGGCCGCAAGCGTGGCAAGCCGCGCAAGGCGCGCAGAGACGCCCAGGCCGGGGCGCGAGGACGTGCCGAGGGTGATGCCCGCAGAGGCGCCCAGGGCGGCGTCGCCGGCAGGCATGAGATGACACCTGCCGCAACTGCGGCCAGCTTGGCCATTGGGCCAAGAACTGTCGATAGCCACGACGCGGGCAGGCCCACGTCGCACAAAGCGAGGAGGAGCCGGCTCTGTTCATGGCACATGCCAAAGATCGAGCTACCTCCAGCGCACCGCCACCACGCTGCTCTCCTCCACCTTGACGAGCCAAAAGCACACGCCTTCCTCGGCGACAGCTCCGCAACGACAAGATCGGCGGGTGGTGCCTCGACACCGCGCCACCCATCACATGATCGGTCGACGGAGTTTCTTCACCAAGCTTGACTCTAGCGTCCGAGGCTCCGTCAAGTTTGAGGATGCCTCCGGCGTGGAGATCAAGGGCGCCGGCTCCGCTTCTTCACCATCGTGTCTCGGTGAGCACAGTCGCTCACCGGAGTCTACTACATCCCCGCTGTTGAGGAACTCCATCATCGCCTTGGGACAATTGGATGAGAACGGTTCGCGCGTGGGTTGAGGACGGAGTCATGAGGATTTGGGATCGTCGCCGCCGCCTTCTTGCCAAGGTATCCGAAGCGCAAATCGACTTCTCGTCCTTAACGTGCGGTGGGCACAACCCCTCTGTCTCGCCGCTTTCGTCGGGACGACGAGGCGTGGCGATGGCACGGCGCGTTGGGCACCTTCACTTTGAGGCCCTAAAGCGGCTCGGTGCCACGGAGATGGTGCGAGGCTGCGCGTGCCTCGACCATGTGGAGCAGCTCTGCGGCGTCTGCGTGTTGACGGGCGGGGCGACTCCCATTTCCACAATGGGCTAGCTTTGAGCCAAGGAGAGGCTCGAGCTTGTGCACGGGGACTTGTGTGGCCCGTGACACCGCCACACCGGAGGACGACGCTACTTCCTGCTGCTCGTCGACGACCTCTCCCGCTACATGTGGGTGATGGTCCTCGGCGGCAAGGGAGAGGCTGCCGACGCCATCGGCGCGCAGCAGTCTGCTGCGAGGCGAGTCGCGGCCGCAAAGTCTGCGCGTCTTTGCGCACCGACAACAACAATGGCGAATTCACGGTGGCTGAATTCGCGCGTCATCTTCTGACGACGAGGGCATTCAAGCGCCACTACTCCACGCCAGTCAGCCCGCGCGCAGAACGGCGTCGTCGAGCGACGCAACCGCACGGTTGTGGGGATGGCTCGGGCCCTCCTCAAGCGAGGGGATGCCGGCTGTCTTCGGGAGAGGCGGTGGTGACGGCCGTCTACATCTCAACCGCTTCGCCTACCAAGGCGCTTCGACGGCGGGGCGCCGTCGAGGCTTGGCATGGGCGCAAGCCGGTCTCTCCACCAGTGGGTCTTGGTACGCCTCGCGTTCGCCAAGGAGCTTGGCCACATCAAGAAGCTCGACGGCGTGAGCACTCGGGAGTGTTCATCGGCTACGCGGAGGGCTCGAAGGCCTACCGTATCCTCGACCCGAAGACACAGCGTGTGCGCACGGCGCGCGACGTTGTGTTCGACGAAGGGCGAGGATGGGCGTGGGACAAGGTGGTGGACGATGGCTCGGCTCCGACGTACGACGACTTCACTGTCGAGTACGTCCACTTCGAGGGAGCTGGGGGAGTAGGCAGCTCTTCTTCGGCGAGCGCGTCTACCCCAGTCCCCGAGCCTCCACCGACCCCGGCGCCTGCTACTCCGACAGCACCACGCTCTCCAGCCAGGACCTCGGCTACGATGAGTTCTTCGCCGGCTCCACCACAGCCGGCAACGCCACGCACTCTAGCATCGACAGGCACCTCTCCGGGCACGTCTACTCTAGCTCGTGTCGAGCATAGCCCGGTTGAGCTCGCTACTCCGCTCTCTCATGACGAGGAGCGCATCGACGCGTACCACGACGGCGAGCCATTGCGGTACCATACGATGGAGAACCTTCTCGGTGACCAGCCGGTGTCGGGACCGGTGCCTCACGACCTGGAGGCGCAGTTGCACCTTGCGTGTGACGACGGCGAGCCTCGGTCGTATGCAGAGGCCGAGAGACACGCGGCATGGCGCGCCGCGATGCAGTTGAAGATGGATGCGGTTGAGAAGAACCGCACCTGGGAGCTTGCTAACCTTCCTCGTGGTCACCGCGCGATCACCCTTAAGTGGGTGTACAAGCTGAAGAGGGATGAAGCCGGTGCCATCGTCAAGCACAAGGCTCGGTTGGTGGCACGAGGTTTCGTGCAGCAGGAGGGGGTCGACTTCGACGACGCCTTTGCTCCCGTGGCACGGATGGAGTCCGTGCGACTCCTCCTTGTGCTAGCTGCCCAGGAGGGCTGGCGTGTTCATCACATGGACGTCAAGTCGATGTTCCTTAACGGCGACTTGAAGGAGGAGGTCTACGTACACCAGTCGTCGGGATTTGCGATCCCCGGCAAGGAGGGCAGGTGCTCACGCTGCGCAAGGCCCTCTATGGCTTGCGGCGGCGAGCGAGGGCGTGGAATGCCAAGTTGGATTCCACGCTAAAGGGATGGGCTTGAGCAAAGCCCGCGACGAGGCGTGCCATCTACCGACGGGCAAAGGAGGTAATGCTCACCGGTGGGTGTCTCACGTCGACGACTTGGTGATCACCGGCACCAAGGATGCGGAGGTGGCGGCATTCAAGGAAGAGATGAAGGCCACCTTCCAGATGAGTGACCTGGGGCCTCTCTCCTACCTGGGAATCGAGGTGCACCAGGATGACTCCGGGATCACGCTTCGATAGACCGCCTACGCCAAGCGCGTCGTTGAGCTAGTTGGGCTCACCGACGCGCAACCCAGCTCTCACTCCGATGGAGGAGAGGCTGAAGTCGAGCCACGACAAACATGATTTGGAGGAGGTGGACGCTTCGCAGACCGGCGTCTTGTGGGGAGCCTTCGCTACCTCGCCCACACACGGCCGGACTTGGCATTCTCCGTCGGCTCGTTAGTCGGTTCATGC